GCTGCCTGTTCAGTGGCCTGTAGAGGCTGGAGACCCAGGAGCACGCTGGGAACTGCAGGGCGTTAGGACCTACGTGAGGTTAGGGTTGGTTAAGAAAACTGCTCAGACAATTCAGTTATGAGCACGTGTCACAAGGGAAGAGGCCCCTGGTGGATTTGCTCTGGGTAGGAACACCTCATAGGAAGAAAGAATGAGTAAATCCTTGAAAAGAACGTCTGGTTAAAAATCTTGTATTATTTTTTTAAAGTTATTAATTATATTTTATTGTAGTTTTTCATTTTTCTCCCCTTTACCCCTCCTGCCTTTACCCACCCCTCTGCCCCCAGCAATCACAACCCTGTTGTCCATGTCCGTGAGTTGTTCTTTTTTCCTTTATTGCTCGGTCCCTTCTCCCTAACCCCTCCCCACCCCCAGCTGTCATCCTGCTCTCTGTCTACGAGTTGGTCTATTTTGCTTGTTAGCTCAGTTTGTTCATTAGATTCCACATATGAGTGAAATCATGTGGTACTCGTCTTTCTCTGACTGGCTTATTTCACTTAACATAATGTTCCCCAGGTCTGTCCATGCTGTTGCAAAGGGTAAAATTTTCTTCTTTCTTTTACAGCCAGGTGCTATTCTATTTTGTAAATACCCCACAGCTTTTTTAATTCACTCATCTACTGATGGGACACTTGGGCTGCTTCCAAATCTTGATTGTGAATAACACTGCAGTAAACATAGTGGAGATTATATTCTTTTGAACTAGTGTTTCGGGTTTCCTCAGGTCAGGTCTCAGAAATGGACTCACTGGGTCGTAAAGCAGTTCCATTTTAAAGTTTTTGAAGTACTGAATTTCTTTTGGACCATAACACACACCTCGGTTTTAGAGGAGGAAAATAAAAAAGTTTTTTGAAGCGGAAAATGTGGTAAAATATTTAATAACAGTTAAATAACATAGGCCGACACCCCCCCACACACACAGCAAGCCAGGTAAGCTATATTCGGACTATACTATGCACCCTAATTTTCCTCCCAAATTTTTGGGGAAAGTGCATCTTACAGTCTGAAAAATATGGTAACTCCACACTGCTTTCCACCGTGGCTGCACCAGTCTGCATTCCCACCAACAGTGCACAAGAGTTCCCTTTTCTCCACATCCTCTCCAGCCCTCGTTTGTTGATTTATTGATGATAGCCATTCTGACAGGTGTGAGGTGATAGCTCACTGTGGTTTTAATTTGCATTTCTCTTGACGGTTAGTGGCATTGAGCATGTTTTCATGTGTCTGCTGGCCATTTACATGTCCTCTTTGGAAAAGTGTCCAGGTTCTTGGCCCATTTTTAAATTGGAGTTGGGGTTCTTTTGGTCTTGAATTTAAAAAGTTCTTTATAAATTTTGGATAGTAATCCCTTATCCAGACGTATTAGTGAATATGTTCTTCTATTCAGTGGGTTGTCTTTTCATTTTGTTGATTGGTTTTCTTTGCTGTGCAAAAACTTTTTAGTTTGATGTAGTTCCACTTTTTTATTTTTCTTTTGTTTCCCTCGCCTGAAGCCATATATCAGAAAAACTGTTGCTATGAGAAATGCCTGAGAGTTTGGTGCCTATGTTTCCTTCCAGGATTTTTATGGTTTTGAGAATAACATTTAAGTTTTTATTCCATTTTAAGTTTATTCTTGTGTGTGGCTTAAGAAGGTGGTTTAGTTTCATTTTTTGCATGTATTGTTCAATTTTACCAACACCATTTATTGAATAGACTATCTTTAGCCTATTGTATGTTTTTGCCTCCTTTGTTGAATATTAATTGATTTTAAAGCATGGCTTTATTTCTGGGCTCTCTGTTCTATTACACTTGTCTATATGTTTGTTTTCATGCCAGTACCATGCTATCTTGATTACTTCTGGCCTCGTATTATAGTTTGATACTAGGTAGCATGATTCTTCCAGCTTTGTTCTTCTTTCTCAGGATTGCTGCTGCTGTTTGGGGTATTTCGTATTCCCACGTAAAATTTTGGAATACTTGTTCTAGTTCTGTGAACCACCCACCCAGTCCAGGGCCTTTGTTTGTCGGGAGTGTTTTGCTTACTGCTTCCATTTCACTAGTTGGGAGCTGGACTCCAGGTTCTCTTGATTCTTCCTGACCTAGTTTTGGAATCTGTACATTTTTAGAAATGTATCCCGATTGTCCAGTTTGTTGTCGTGTAGTTGTTCGTACTATTCCCATACGGTATTTTGTATTTCTTTGGTGTAAAAGTTGTTACTTCTCCTTTTTCATTTCTGATTTTATTTATGCGGATCTTCTCTCCTTTTTTTCTTGATGAACCTGGTTAAAAGTTTGTCAGTCTTGTTTATTTTTTCAAAGAACCAGTTCTTGGATTCATTGATCTTTTGTTTTGTTTTTTAGACTCTATTTATTCCTGTCCTGATCTTTATTATTTCTCTCTTACTACTCACTTTGAGCCTTGTTCGTGGTTCTTTTTTCAAGTTCCTTTGAGTGTCAAGTTAGACTGCGAGCTTTTGTTTCTTTAGGTAGACCTGTGGTGCTGTGAATTGTCCCTTTAGGATGTGTTCTCGTGTCTCACAGATTTGGGGTTGTTGTGTTCTCATTTCCATTTGTTTCAATATCTTTTGATTTCTTCCTTGGTCTCATTGTTAATCTAGTCATTGTTCAGTAACATGTTATTTAGCTTCCATGTCTTTGTGTGTTTTTCAGTTTTCTTAAGTGATTAATTTCTCGTTTCATAGCATTGTGGTCAGACAAGGTAATTGATATTATTGCAATTTTCTTAAACTTACTAATATGTTTTGTGTCCTAACATGTAGTCTATCTTAGAAAATGTTCCATGCACACTTGAAAAGAATGTATATTCTGCTGCTTTGGGATGAAGTGCTCCGAAGAGATCAGTTAAATCCATTTGATCTAGCGAGTCATTTAAGACCCTTATTTCCATCTTGATTTTCTTTCTGGGAGATTTATCCATTGATGTCAATGGGCGTAAAAGTTCCTACTGTGACTGTATTACTGTCAGTCTCTCCCTGTATGCCTGTCATGATTTGCTTTACATATTTAAGTGCTCTCACTTGGGTGGGGCTGCAGGGAATCCAGAGGGTGCAGCTATTGTCCTCCCCCCTGGCTGATGCTGTTTGGAGGGGAGTGTTCCACCCGAGAAAGGTGGTGTCTGCCGTGTGGGAGAGTGACTCAGCACAGGTATCCTGGTGGCTGTCCCTTCAGTTCTCTCGTTTATAAGGCGTCTCTCCAGCTAGTCTTCAGCTGGTTATTTGGGATGCCTTTCCTATAATTTAGTTGTCATGCCAGTTTGGTCCTGGGAGGGGGCTGGTGTAGCTTCCACCTAATCTGCCGCCATCTTGGACCCAAAAATCTTCAGGCTGTAGCTAACTGGAATTGAGAGTTGAACTAGAAAATGGGAATGAGTTCTCTAGAACTAGCCTCAGTCTTCTTGAAGTTCGTTAGAAAATTGCAGTAGAAAAAAAGCATTTTATCTGAAATGCTGTTGATTTCTCCCCACTGGAATGTTATGAATTATGTAGTAGGCCACTTGGTTCTGTTCCAGAGCAGGTTTGGGGCAGTTTTTCTTTTATAGGCTCAAGGTCCTCATGGAGTGCAGTCAAGTTTTCAGGGGTCTGCGGTGAAGAGCTGTGTAAAACTAAGCTGAGGACAGGATAGGTGTTTTACTCTGAGAGCCTCAGGGAGCTGCCGAGGGAATTTGGAAGCCCAGCCATTAGCATTAGCAGTGCACTAGGCACAGTGTGAGGCTGGAGTGGCCTGGGTGGGTGTTAGCAGAATCCTTTAATTTCCCAGGGAAAATGATGAGGGCTTTGAGTGCGGCCCTTCTGTCCCTTACCCCTCCTCCCTCCCCAGCCCCTCCACGTGGAATAGCTCTGAGACAGGAGCATAGCTGGGGGTGGAGGCAGGACTTAGTAGCTGCTTCTTCTCCAGAGGAGTAGGTTTTAACTTTTAAAATTGAGACCGTGATTGTTCTTATCACAATGAAAGAAAGATGATGATGTTGAGATGAGAATGAAGAGGTGTTAGAGGAAGCAGCCAGACTGAGATAAGAGCTCAGAGAAAGGAGTCCAGGCCCCCGGTTCAGGGTAAGGGACAGGCGGACTCTGCCTCCAGCCCGGGGCCCAACTGCTCTGCCCCCTCCTTCCCAGCTGGTCCCATCTGTGTCCCGAGGTCCCAGAAGCAGTTTGAAGAGCAGAGGCTTCGAGGCAGGCCCCTTTTGGCCTGTTCAAAGCCATTTTCTCCTTGTTTGATTTGTCTAAGCAGGCCCAGGGCCAGCCCAGATGCAAAGGGGTGGAGAAATATATTTCCCCTTTTGATGTGAGGACTGCCCCATGTCACACTGCAAAAGAGTGTGGACACAGGGAGGCATTAAACAAAGCAGTTCCAGGGCCATGCTGTCATCTGGGCTCAGCCTTGGCCTTGAGGCTGTTCTCAGTTACTGCTGCTATAATTTGCTTCATTACATAAGATTCTACCCTTCCTCAGAAATCTGCAGGCTGAATCTGCTTTAGTCCTCTGTGGGGCATCTGCCGAGGTTAAGATAGAACCTTCACATGTGCCCTTGTCCCAGGTGACATACCTGCTGACACATGGTGATCTTTGCTGTGTTTTCTCGTCACTGTCAAAGGATTTAGGGCAGAGGTGTAGCCAGGTTGTGAGAAATGTGAGGGAACCTGACCTCAGGGTGCAGTGCATTTGCAGTGGTTTGGTGGGGGGGGTCAGACCTCTCAACTCTCCTCTGGTTTCTCTGTGGTCTTACTGTTTGCTATCGTCTCTGTTCTCTTTTGTTGTACCGTTTAATCGCCGTCAGGTGAACAGGTTGCCATAAAAGTAACACTGCATAATTCCCTGATACAGATTCTATGGGCATATTTGAGAATATGCCTTTCTTACACTTCATGTGGAGAGAGTGTTGTGCTTAACTTTTATTCCTGTTAGAAACCTACATTCAAAATGAATAATTATTCTCATTTTGCTTTTCTAATGTCATCCAGGTTGCAAAAATATCTGCGTCTAAGGACTCGGGAGGACTTATTTATGGGAGCAAAGGCAGTGAGTGAGTCATACCTGCAGGCTGGGAAATGAGAATTCACTTGAGCCTCGTCATCCAGTCAGGAGGTTTCCTAGGCAACCATTTGTGCAGTAATTAAAAGATGAGGAGCAAAGAGGTATGTACTTGGAAATATTAGCCCTCAAATGCAATCCCTGTTAGATTGAGACCTCAGTACTCTTTTTTTTTTTTTTTTCATTTAAAAGCTTAACACTTAATTGTAGAAAAACACACTAGTAGGACGTGTGTGTGTTATGTTTTGTCCTTCTCTTTTTACTACTTTCTCTCTAATGGGAATGTTTATATTTATTAATGCTGGCTCATTTGGGAGAGCAGAGGAGAAGTTACTGCTGTGACGGTACTCGGAAAAGCCATCATCTTTCCTTGTGCCCGTTTGAGTGCGTTGTCAGTAGGAATTCTAGGGTGTGGAGAAGAGAAGCTTATTAATCATTTGTTTCTTCTTTCAGTGCTTGAGTTGATACTTGCTTATTCCAGTGCTTTAGTTATTTTAGTCTACCTTAGACGACCGGCACATACCGCTCTGTGGCTCGGGAGAAAGTAGCAGGCTCGTCCATTCTTGAGTAGGAATGAGGACTCTTTCGCCAAGTACACGCAGGCAGCCTGGGTTTCCTGCAGGTTCTCCTTTGTCTCTCCACTCTCATCCTTTTCACACAGGTTTCTGCTGCCGTGTGGCGGTCATGTCTGTTTCTCTCCGAAACACTAACACTCTCAGACTTTATTTAACGTGGACTTTCCTGAAATTCCCTTTTAGTAAGTAAGGGGCATCGGGAAAGAGCAAACTCCTGCTGGTTACGTGACAGACTCATTTTCAGTAGGGCTAGAAATCTGAAAAGAACCAGAATATTAAGATACTAACAGTGCCATTTTTAAAGAGGGTTATATTATGACCCTTGAACCAGCTGTTGTGAAGAAATGTGAAACTCATAAAATACAGCAGCAAATGGCTGCTTTCTCCTGGAGCCTGGAGGAGCCAGCTCCCCACTCGGGACACCCGTGGGCTTCAGGAGCCTTTGGAGCTTGTAGCCACAGTCATCCGAGTTTTCTATTGAACGTCGCTGCTGATTGATTCCCTTCTGTTGCCAATAACTTTGAGACTGTGCTGCAGAAATGTGGCAGATTAAGTAGGTGAACTTGGTCGGTCCCCTCTCCCCCTCCTCCCTGGGTCTGTGGAAGAAATTGTGACAGCGGTACCTGTTTGAGCCAAGGCTCTGGACACTGTGTTTTCTGTAGCAAAAGTGAAACAGGTTTAATTCTTAGACAGACTGTGTGTGTAAATGCACTTACTTAATCCTAAAGAAAACCGTTCTGACACTGACATTTCAGTGGCATCGGTGATGCAGTTCTGCCCTTAATTTTAACTTGTTTCATTTAATTACATACTTGAAGTGCCAGGCTGTAGTTTGTGAACTGCCTTAAATGATTTTTAAACCAGGTGGGTTATAAATATAAAGAAGGTAATGCTTTGGCTTATGATTTTTAATAAATACATTTCCACATTTTTATAAGATAAACATCAATTTATTAGTTGATTTGCGATGCATTCATTCACTGAATTTCTGCTCTTTGCCAGTCACTGTGCTGGGCATAGGGGCTACAGAGATGGAGACTCTGTCTGTATGTTAGAGGTGCTGGCAAGTCCAAAAGGAGAGACATTTAAATAACCAGGGTTATAATGATGGGAAAACCTTGTGTAGCACTTACTGCACATGCCAGGCACTGCTCTGAGGGCCTTGTAGACATTGGTTTTAACTTGTGAATTGATACAAAAGCCCTATTAGGTGTTGCTGTTATTTTTTCTATTTTTCACATGAATGAATTAGGGCCCAGGGAGGTTAAGTACTTGTCTAAGGTCATCAAGCTTGTTTGGTTGACATGCAAATGTACTAAGTGCATTAACAGAGCTGTTCTTGCAGGGAGAATGGAGACTAGAGGTGTGGGTGTCAGTGAAATTTCCCCAAAGGAGGGGTCGTACCTGAGCAGGTCTGTTCCTCTATTCAGAGAAATAGAGAAGTCATGAAATATCAGGGTGGCCAAAAAGTACACTAAGTTTTTTCTGTGAAATAAAAGACACACTTTTCATTTTTACCAGTGACTGTTGATTCGGATATTTTGAGTGAGTTGGCTCATCTTCCTCACGTAGAGTGTTTATTGTTCTCTGTTAGTGTCTCAACCTGACCACTGTCAAGTTCAGCTGGTCTCCTCCATCGCAGAGCATCGACTGGTGCGCAGTCTGCGGCGGGAAACCCCGCAGACCACTGCGACACTGGGTCAGTCACAGCGCCCGTACTCCACACGCGGCACAAATCTTTTTGTACATTTCAGTTGCGTTTTTATCATTCTTGAAATAATAAAGCAAAATATGCCAAAATTGTTGCTTATTTTCTTCTGTCTTTGATATTAAAATGGCTTCACAAAAATTAACCAATTTTGATGTTTTTAAAAAATGCACACTGATACGACAGCTGCCACAATACAGTCTAACAAAATTGCTGAGAACAAAGTTAAAGACAACGAAGCGCTACTATCACTGTCTTACAGAAAAAAAACAAGGGAACTTTTTGGCCACCCCAGTACTTGCTTAGTAACACAAAATGCTGCGTCATAAATGGGTTCATAGGTTGAATCGGTGACAAGGTAAGAGAAGATGGTGAGCTAGTAAAAATGCACCAGATTCCTGCATCTTCAGTACAAAAGACAAGGGAGAAAGAGTTCCAATTTAAAGGCAAGCCTTTGTTTCCAGCTGGTGTGAGATGTGATAAAAACTTGGCACTTAAAAATTCTAATAGAAATAACTGATTTACTTAACTCTGTCAGTGTGTGGGTAAATGTGTGACCCCTTTTAAAGATACTAAGGTGCATTTCATAATCACCAAAGGTTTTATTTTAGGAAACCTGTAACAATCCATAGAAATAGTCTATTATTTTGTACAAAGTAGGGGGAAACACTCATTCATATCTTTCAGATTTAAAAATTGGCAGGCATTACCAATTAGGTAGGTTAATTTTACTATTACAGAGATGCAAAATTATTCCGAAGATGGAATTGCTGGTGCCCATCCTTGGCCCTGGCCCACTAGGTCTTGGCTTCTTCACCTTCCTGTAACGAAGAAGGTGGCCTTTTGAGCATCAGCTGTGTGTCTCACCATGCCTTTGCACCCCCTGCAATTGTAACCTGCTGACTTTCTCACTACCCCAACCTCCCCTGATACCTGTACTCCACCCTGACCCAGCTTCATTGGATGACCCACCTGTATCCCTGACTGTATGGGTTTGGGGGCTTCTCATCCTCCATGATCTCACCACCTTCCAGCTCCCCACTCCCTAGACCTCAGCTGCTCATGGCTCAGGTCAGTAAGTCAGGGAGTCCCTATTTGACCACACCCACCTGTCCATCCACCTGGTCCTGCAGAGTTTACAACTCGTCTCTCCTCTGATGGCTCTGAGCTCCCTAGTCTGCTGGCTCCATTGCTCTGTGCCTGTCTGTTCCTCCTACCACCCTTTCCCTCCAGCCGAGCACCCATGGACCAGGTTTTAAATCTCTGTCTTGCCAAAGCCGTACACTTCCTGACCATCTTGTCCTTTGCTTGCACCCGGGCTGCTGAGCAGTGTTGGAGAAAATCCTACAACAGGGCAGACTGGCACCTGTTTGCATGAACTCAGGGATTGCCCAGCACTGGGCGGTGGCTGCACCGTGTTACTCAGGTTGCTGTCGTTCCGATCGTGCATAGTGACCGTTACTAGGCTAATTCACCCTTCAAATGTGTGATGCCCCTCCTCCCCCTTGCTCTGGTCAGGTGATGCACTCGTGTAGCACGGCTCCATCCCACCTGCCACTGAGCCTCCTCTGTCCCTTGGGATCCACCACCTGATGACCTCCGGGTTTTTCTTCTTCCTGTTGCACTGCCTTTGTCATCTTGGCTGGTTTCATCTCTGTCAAACTGACTTCTCTCAAAAGGCAAGTACTAATGTCTGTTTCCTCACTGCAGTGAAATGTTCTTAAGCTTTTCTCCTTTGCCTTCTGCTGGAGGAAGACTGGGATTTATGGTAGAATGGCAGGACCCGGACGCTCTCGTGCTGTGTGTGTGTGGTGAGCCTGCATGGGCCTCACTCTGTGATCTTAGCTGGATGCTACGCCAAGCCATAGACAGTAACTGTCTCCCGTGGCTACTGAATCGTTTCACACTCTGTAGAAATAGTCCCTAGAGGGGAAGGTTTGATTGGCATCTTTCAAATTAGAAGGTGGCAGGAATTCCCCAGATAGATCAGTTTTACTATTAGTGTTCTAAAGCGTTGCTTTCAGTGTGGCACACCAGTGCCCTGTGGATTATGTCCCCCTCCTGCCAAGGAAGCCGAGATCCGTTCTGCCTCAGCCCCTGGCGTGCTGACTCTTTGATCCACTGTTGGAGGCTTGCTGCCCACTTTCCCGTTGCTCCTCGTAAACGCCGCCACTCCCACCAGCCACCTCTGTGAGGCTCCATAGTCCTTTCTTTTTTAACTCTTTTTTAAATCATAGCTCTTTGTTTGGCTCTTCACGTAAAAGTATGAACATTCAGGAGACATTATTCATCAATTTATCAACTCATCTGTTCTAGAGCTGGACACTTGCGAGTGCAAAGATTGTGAGAATGACACACCTTCTGGTGATCGTAAGGGAGAAACATCTGGACGACACAGTAATTCAGCACTTTTTCATGAAGGCTGTGAAAGTTGGTGCTGAGCATTTCATACCCGTCATTGTATATGATCTTTAAAGAAGCCCATCATGCTGCTGATTCTGTCCCGTGTTCTGGGAGGGCACCGAGGCTCTGAGGCGTGCAGCCATTTATTTGATCAGTCTCCCAAACAGCAGCCGCACAGAGGGTCACAGTCTGAGTTTGGCTGCAAAGCTAGTGTTTTTTATTAAATTTATCTCATTGTTGTTCAAGTACAGTTTTCTGTCTTTTACTCCAGTTCCAGCCCACCTCGCCAGTGCTCCCCACCTCCCTGAAGCTCGTGGTCTTAAGTGCCATGAGCATGGCTGCTCTGCTCCCCATGTCGCCTCTTTAAGAAGATGGGCCACAAATAGAAGAACTCACCGTCTCTGACAGATTGTGTAAC